AGGGAATTAATTAAATAAATAAAAATAATATATAAAAAAAGAGAGGAGAAAGTTAAATAAATAAATAAAAAGAGAAGGGGAAGTTAAATAAATAAAATTATAAACAGAGACAGGGTTAGATAATATCCTACAAAAATAAATAAAAGCAGGGCCATCAAACCACACATCGTTTCAAAGAGGCCTGAAAACCTTTAATTTTGTTTTTGTTATTTGACATTTTCTGTAACTAATGAATGCAACTGATCTATTATATATATTTATATCATCATATTTTATAATGTTACATTTTATATAATATTTATTTTATATTTAATTTTCATATGTCCAAGAGTTTCTCTTCATTTGTATCTTTTAATTAAAAAAAAAGTTCAATTATCTTATTAATCTATAAATATAAGTTGAACTGCTGGACAACATGTTTCCTACTTCACTGTAAAATCCATTCTCAGCGTACTAAAGGCTTCAAGTTTCCACATCACACTTTATGTGTGAATACTGGACCAGGATTGGCTATTTCAGACTTCATTTGTAGAACACTTTCATACAAGCAAAAACAAAACAAAAAAACATGCTCGCAACTTTCCACTTTCAGCAGATAAATCTGAAAAATCCTTCTAGTTAAACTCTAGTTAAGACTTCAAATTATAACCAATATTAAATGTCCAAATGGAGATGAGTGAAGTTATTTAACTGAAGGTAACTGTTCAAGTTCCCAATTGCTATAACCCTATACACGGCATGCATGCTATACAACACATACACAAATCAAAATAGAAAGAATGGTAGGAATTTTTTTTTAGATTTACGAGGTCATAATAGAATATATGTGGTGCAAATACTGTAAACTAATGCTTTGGGTGAGTCAGGTGACTAATAAAATACAATTTTTTCTACTTTTATTTTGGTACATAATATCCTTGTTGTTCCAATAAGGGTGCCTGTGAGAACACTTGCATTTGTGTATGAGAGACCATGCCAACTGCAACTGTATATGAAAGTTATGAGTTTTTTATATTGAAATCTTAGACCACCTGTTTTTGACAATACAAAAACAAATAGTGTTTCTCATGGATAACTGCATTTAAAACCAGCCAAATTATTTTATTATAATAATAATAATAAAGAAAGACAAACACCATTTTCTAAAAAAAGCATATTTATTAGTTCACACAATGGAGCAGTGCCTCAACATGACAACAGTAAATCAAAGCAGAATGTGTCCAACATATTGGAGAACAGATGGGTGTAATGCAACTGTCTTTTACCTCAACAGCATCAGAAAGGAAAAAAATATATAACCAAAGTTTTATCATGCAGTATGTTTGTGCAAACCCTTTCCGTTCACAGCTCAGACTTTTCCCTTCCAAACACACAGACATACAAGGCAGCAGCTCCTTGCTGATGGAATGGAGGGTGTATAGACACATGTTTACAGTGTGCTGCACCAGAAAACTGTAGGTGGCAGAACTGTTAGATAAGGAAGTCAGACACAGAGAGAGACGTGTGGTTTTTATTTCACCAGTCCGATCTTCTTCGCTTCTGTTTCATATATCAAGAGCCTCCACATTTTTACTATGAAGACTTCTGCTTCTTCATCGAGGACCTAAAACACAAACAGGTTGGTTAGCTTTATATCAAACGCCTTCATAAATGCAATAAATATAAAAATAGTGTCCATCTAATAACAGTGTAGCAGGCTAATGCTGCTTCACCTCTAAAACACTACAGCCATGCCATCGATTGTGAGACTGTACTTGGGGACAGCGGCACTTTGAGCGAAAGCTAACATCAGCATGCTAACATGCTCACAATGATGACACTTACTGATGGGTAATAAGTTATAATATTAACCATGTTCACCACAGAGTTCAACACAGTTAGCATGCTAACATTTGCTAATTAGCACTAAACACAAATTAGTCATTGGTTATGCAGGTATTACGTCATAAATAAACCCAAATGTTCCACAAATTAATGTTTTGACCTGATGATGGCACTAAATTAAAAAGTTAAGAGATGACCAGAGTGATTCTTCAGTTCATCCTGAAGGGGACATGAATGTGTGTACCACATTTTATGCCTTACTTCTTCTACTATTGTCGACACCTTTATACTTAAAGGCACAACTTAAAAACTTGAAAACTAATTTCTCTGTACACATGTTGGCTTTGTGTTGTGTTATATGGTGTTATTATATGTTGGCAGTGTGTTCTAGTATAAATCAACCATATACCTCAAATGTATGAAAAGAAATTAAGCTCAACAAGTGATGAGATTCAAATAACCAGCAGGGGTTATATGGCCAGAACCAATTTTAACTTACCATAGCAACATCATCAAGAATACCCTGAGGGGTGCTGTGTGCCATCACCTGGAGAGAAAAGAAAACACATTCAGTTAAAACAAATAAAATGCAGCGCAACAGATTCCAAGACACACACACATAATAAATAAAGATTAATGATTGTTATTAATATAATATTCAGAAGCATTCATATTTTCTATAGAAACCAACATTTTACATTACAGGTATAAACAGGGTAAACTTAAAAATAATGCATCTGATTTCACAAACCTTTGAACAGACAAAATCAACCAGGGTGGGTTCCTCCTCGCCGATGTATTCAATAATCTTCTTATTGATCCATGGTCTAATGCGGCGATCCATCAGAGTCTACAGAAAGAACAATCAAACAGGGAAATGTAGCTGAAGAACTGCCCACAGAATATCAAATCACTACTCTTTCTTTGACCTTTTGAACATAGTAATGAAACAACCAGAGGCTCTTTACCGAGTCGACCATAGTCCAGTCCAGAGGGTAGGAGAAGAGCTCAGGCCTGGCTGTGGGGATCTTCTCAATAAGGCTCTTTATGTGCTTGCGTTTCTCCTCTGTGTTGATGCTGCCTTTGGCCCCTGAAATTTCTGCCCCATCAAGCCCCAGACTCTTGTCATCATCACCGTAGTCCAGTGGAACCAGTTTCCTTTTGCGAGGCTGCTCATCAGCCTCTTCATCGTCAAACTTGTTGAAAACACTTTCCACGCTCGCCAGCTTCTTTCGCTTTCCTACGTTGAGCTGGCTGGGACTGTTGGTGGCACCTGGAGAAAAGAAACAAGTTTATTTTTCAGAGTCGAGAAAGTAAATGCCTCTGTGCCCTTAGGTTGCCACTGTACTCACCCAGTTTGAGACTGAGACCAATCTTGGGCCGGTGTTCCTCTGGAGGTTGGACCTCAGGAGTGTTCTCGCCGGGAATGATGATTCCGCAGGGAGATTCGTTGCCGGGTGTGTTCGGAGTCGCGTTCCCACTGGCAGAGGACACTGAGGGAGCAGTAGTGATTGGTCGCATGATCGGTTTGAGTTGCGGTTTGGCCTCTTGGGAGTCCTCGACATCGTGGTAGTCATCCTCGTCCGCTTCCACGTCGTCGTCTTCCGAGTGCGGCTGGGGGGCCCGAGGCATCGGCTCCGCGGGCCTTCCTGACCCCCTCTTCTCCCGATCCCGATCCTTGTGGGACTTCTCCTGGTTCACCTCCTCCTCGGGTTCAAGTTTCAGAGGAGGCTGTCTTCTGCGCTCTGCCTCCTCCTCCATCTACACAAATAGACACAACACATGAACGATGG